CTAAAGTCCATGGGATGGTCCTGGTTGTTCCTCACAGACCCATCATGGTGAACATACCCTGCACCCTCATATGGCAGGGGTGGTTATTGTACCCTCTCACCCATCTTTTTCTCTAGTTTTTCCCCAACCTCATCCCACAGTCTCTCCTGTGCACTGGGTGAGAATCAACTCCAAGAGCATGTCTTTGGTGGATGACAGTGACCCTCCGGGGAGCGGCAGTGGAGCCCTGCCTTCCTCGAGAGGGCTGGCTGTGGTCCGAGCACTGCTCCAGTCAAGCGTGTGACAGATTTCCCATGGACTTCAAAGGGAGCATCTTTGGTCTTCCGAGGGCGCTGCCTCTGAATCACAGACGTCAAGGATGGAAAAGACATGTTAAGTCACATCCCGTCCTATTTTCCTGCCAAAGAAGGGCTCTTCTGCACAGGAATATGTCTCAAGAGTGTTCATCTTGTGTTGCTTCAGCCCCTGCCAGCCTGGGGATCACTGATAAGATCCATGAGACTCTGCAGAGCCCTTTGCAGACACAACCAACAAACATCCTCTGGCTGAAGCTCTGGTTCCTGCTGGTCCCAGCCCACTGCCGTGCCGATCTCCCAAAACCAAGGACAGTGCCAGTATCCTTTCCTTTCTAGCAGACAGCTGCATTCTTTTGGATCAGTGTGAAATTTCAGTTGCATTTTCTTCCTAAATCCTTTTAATCATTGCAAATATTGCAGGCAAGATGGTGAGCCGCACTGCCGCTCGGCAGAAACCAGTGAGGTCAGATAAGGGAAATATTTTCATTAGCTGCATGGGAACTTGAGCTCTCCCCTGCTTTCCCCTGGCTCTGAGCAGACCTGCTCAGCTCTCATCTTCGCAGCTCTCCCACCAGAGCACTGACGTCTGTTCGGCTCAGGCGTGATGAGAAAGAAGGTGACAGAAAGAAAGGGCTTGGTGCCCACCAGGAGTGTGATGGATGGCTGCTCACATTACCTCCTGCAGAAAATCTGTGTAGTGCGGACCCCATGGGAGCTGGGAAGGTTACACCTGCGTGGCCACACTGACATTCAGGCATTTTTCCCATTTCTAAGACACCCACTCCATTTTGGGTGGGAGTTTGAAAATTTCTTGGCATCCAGGTGTGTCATCGACACCCTTCACTCCAGCTCATGCAAACCTCTGCTCGCTTTTTGTTAAGGGATAAAGCCAAAGTTCACTTTCTCCTCCCCCACCACTTGGGGAAGCTTTGGATCTGGATCTGAACTAAGTGGCTCATTCCTCTCTCAATTTCCCATGTTTAATTCAAAAGGAAACATTAAAATGGCAGGAGCTGAGCCAAGACAGGGAGGGTTCCTATGAAATAGTTATTCTAACACTGTTACCATGGCAAAAATTCCTATATTGTAATGTTAGTGCCCTGCACCCATCATGGTGGTAGCTGAGCTGCTCAAGGTGAATCTCTTCCCATGGATGTACAGGGCAGCTCCAGTTTGGACTTTGCTGCAGCGTGTGGGGAAAGTGTTGAGTAATCCCAGTTGAGGGTTTTGTCAACTGTGTTAGCACGGAGATCTTTCTCGGAATTTGTAGCAAACACATCCTACAAAACAGTTTGGGTTTGGTTTTTTTTTTAAATAAAAACAAAACACAAAAGAAAGAGAGCAAAACAGATGAGGAAAAAAGACATTAGCCTGCCTTCTTGTGTTGTAACTGGACAGCGTCTGTGCATCAGCCTCAAGGATTTCGTGGTCTATTTTCCTTCCACTCGATTTAACTTCCTTCTTGCTCTAATTCTGAAATTATTCCCACATTTAACTGAATCCTTCCATTTTAGTTTCCATCTTGCTTTGGTCTTTCACGCTGCCGTTTGATCTGGGATCTCCACTGTTCTTGTTACATCAGTGTCCAAAGAAACTTGGGTGTTTCTGCCGCCTGAAGCTATTGCTTTCAAAATAACTCTCAGCTTATTGCATCTGGGGGCCAGGTATTATGGTCTGAGGGCAAGCGCAGTTGGTGGGTGCATAATGATAGAAAAGAAGTGAAGGCAAGAATTTAGAGAGGGATTTTGTTGGGAAAAAAGAGGCCCTTTGTGCCACCAGACTGAAGCCATTTCCAGCTATGGGGACTACACTTCGCCTTGCCTTTTCCTTGACTGCCAGCTTTGCAAAGAGGGTCTTACAGGGTGGAGGGACACCTAGTGCTGTTTCCAGCAGGAGGGGCATGAAAGTGCCTCTGTCCCTTTGGGTTGGGGTTACCAGCAGAGAAGTTTCTGCTCTGTGCAACTGCCGCCTGAGGTCAATGCAGCAGTGACACTGGGTATTCCCAGAGAGTAAATAGATTCCCTGCGATGTCCCTGCTCATTGCAAGGGGTAGTGGACTAGATGACCTTTAAGGGTCCCTTCCAACCCAAACTGTTCTGTGATTCTATGATTCCTTGCCTCCTTGGGGGTATCAGTAGCAGATGATGTGTATAATAAAAAGGCCCTTTGAAGTTTATTGGCTTGCTTCTGGAGAGATTGGATACGGCTCAGCACCTCAGCTCTGCCATACAAGCCAAATAGCCCATAGGGTCAACAGCGTTAAAATCCACGTGCTCGTGGATAAGGGTGATACAACCAATTGTAGTTGGTTTGGATTTCCATAAGTATTATGGCAGAGCTCCTCCCTAGGAGCATTTGAAGAGACTGAGCAGCTTGGACAGGAGTGTGGATTAGCGATGAGTGGACAGGCAGGGAACGGTGGGTAGAGAGAAAGGGCCGGTTCCTGCGGGGAGGGATGTCACGAGTGGACAAAGCAGGGTCTGACTCTGAGCTTAACTCTGCTTCGAGCCAGGAGCTGGGTTGGAGACCTCAAAGGTCCCACCACCTGACATTGTGACTGTGTGAGCAGTGCTGCTGAGTGTGTTGAGAAATGACCTGGAAAGGGGAGTGAGCAGTGCGATAGGAAGTTTGCTGGCAATACTGCAGCAAAGGTACTGGTGTTTGCTAAAGACAGCAAAGATAAGAAGATTTACAGAGGGACCTTATGACTCTGAGTGTCTAGGTAATAATGTGGCAGATGAAATAAATACAATGTAGATAGTGATGCACATGGGAAAAAACCATGCCAGATTCCACATATGAAATGATAGAGGCTGAGCTGACCATTATCTCAGAAGAGAGACCTCAGGGTTTCTCTAGGTGGTTCAGTGGAAGTTTGGGGTCAGTGCCTGGTAATGGTCACAAATCAAATCAGGAGTTACAAGAAAAGGAATATTAAACAAAGCAGAGAACATAAAACATCTGTTAGATAAATACACAGAGACCCACAACATGAATACTGTGTGTTGTTCTGATCATGTCAGCTCCGAAAGGACTAGGAAAGGCTCAGGGAAGAGCAGCAAGGGTCATCAAAGGTATGGGATGGCTTCCACACAACTGTCTGCTAAGGAGTTTTGATCTTTTTCTTTTGGAAAAGAGGCTGAAGAGATGATGGAGGACTAAAAATACGTGTCACAGAGGAGGTGAATAAAAATCTGTTGTCCTGTCTTCTAGTACAGGAATTGGGGGACCTCAAGTGAAGACAGTAGGAGCAAAGTTCAAAAAAAGCAAAAGAAGGAAAGCATTATATAGACTGGGAAGAAAACTTTGCATGTGCCAGACCAAATTCATGGACAATAAAGATCTATCATGGGTTGCTGAATATGGGGAAGGCACATCTAACTGAGGTCATGGAGCCAACGGTAGTTGGGGAAATCCTATATATGCCTGAGCTGTTCTGCACCTCCCCTGGCATCTACGTACAGCCGCTGTGGGGTTTGTGGAAGGGGTGAACCCATCTTACCTTATGTAAAGTCAGGGACATCTCTCCAGGGATGAGCCTGGCTTTGCATCTCTGTGCAGAAAAGAGAAGCTGAAGCACAAGCATGACAAGAAGCGTTAAAAAATCTTCAACCCTAAGCAGAGCATGACACCCTAGAGGGATGAGGAGGATGGAGACTGGTACAGAGGCTGATGGCAGAGGGACACAGAGGCATTCCAGTGATTGATGTGGTCTTAAAATTTAGATTGACAGGCAGTCAGGCAACCTGAGTGGCTAGGATGGATTTCAGATAAATGCCCAGCTCCAGTTTCCTGTAGGCAATAGACTCTTGTGCATTAAAGGCTGAACGACCCTTAGCAATTTTGCAAGCTAGCAAACAGGGCCCCAAGCCTATTGAACTCAGAAGAAGATCTTGTGTTAAGCTGGACATGTCAAAGTTGTGCTCCTAAAACTGAGCACATATGTAGTGTTTTGCTGGATCGCAGTCGACAAGCAGTCAAACCTTCCGCAGCAGGAAACCTATACTGTTCAGTTATTTAGACACATGCTGTTTAGTTTGAATCGTTTGAATGTTTCACATTACGCTAGAAATCTTCAAGGCTAAAGAAATAAATTGCGTAAGATACAGCCAGGGCCCTGAACCAGGCTGTGGTTTGGTCTGTTCTGGGAGGTGAGGGTGGGTTGTTTGAGCAGGTGGGAATTACTGCCTCCGGGTCCTGTTCTTACAACAGCATCGCGTTTTTACATGGGCTGGAAGTCATGATCGATGCTGTTTTGAGCACAAAATCCACCAGGTTGTGATATATTTGCTCACACACACCCCCCTTATTGTCTTATTCTGCAAAACCTGTGATGGCACCGGAGCTACTTGCAGGGAGTAAGTTAATCAAGATGAGTAACTGAGTGGCAGGGGGGCTGCAGGTTTCTGAGAAAAACAGGGCCTCTGAGAAGCGAACTGAACGGCAGGCAGACGTCCCAGGCTGTATCCTGCCGTTACGTTTTAAGCAGAGCTGCCCCGCTGAAATCAAGAGGCTTCATGTTGCTTTCATCCCCATGGAGATCAGCGGGGGAGTTCTTCTTAAAAACCTGTTGGGACCATATGGCCTTTTATCACTTGAGTTCCTATTTATGTTAAAAACTGCTAAGAAAATAACCTATAGTTGTTTTGTCATGCTTCAAGCAAGATATTTTGTTTATCTGGCCTAATTTTTAATTATTTTTTTTTCCCTGTTACCCTTTCTAGGTTCCCTGCTATTCTTATGGTCAAAAGTTGTCCAAACTGGCCATCTTGAGAATAGCCTGTAACTATATCCTTTCCCTGGCCAGACTAGCAGACCTGGATTACAGCGCTGACCACAGTAACATGAGCTTCTCTGAATGCGTGGAGCAGTGCACTAGGACCTTACAAGCAGAAGGAAGATCTAAAAAAAGGAAGGTATGTTACAGCCTCCCCCCACCCACCCCCCAAATAACGGTAAAAGTTACAAAAGGGGAAAAAAAAAAAACCAAACCAAAGCAGTTTCCTTCTTTTCTCAAGCTTTTGAAATTTTCCTGATTTTTTTATCCCTTGCCTTTCTCTCTTATTCTCCTCCATCCGTCTGATCTTGTAATAACTGCATTCCTCTCTAATCAAAAGCTTTTCTCTCCTCCCCATCCTCTGTGCTGGGCTCTTCCTCTCGTTAGTCGCCCATCGTGTGTTTTAACAGGAGCATGATCCTATTAGAGTCATCTTGGGGCTGTTATTTGTTAAACCCAACCAACCTCGAGTCGCCTTTTGGAGCCCATAAAACACAGTCACCCGCCTGTGTTTTCTGTTTTGTTTAATCTAACACTTATCTCCGAGAAAAATCACTCGACAACAAAAAAAAAAGTAGCTAATGGAGACATTGTATGTATAAACACATTAGTAAGATGTATGACCTGAAGGACATGTGGGTATCTTGAGGAAACAACGTTAAATCTAATTATGCCTTGCATTCCTTTAGGTTACTTAACACTGAACCAATTAGGTGAAATCATCGTCAAGCGGCCGGAGGAGGAAGCAGAGCGTTCTGCCAGTTTTCCTCTTGGAGAGTGACATGGGTGAATTAAAGGAGTGATTGATGTCTTTGTTCAGGCTTTTATGACAAAAAGAGTTTTGTAAACTTGAATTGAACTTCCCCCTGCTTTCTGGGCTCGCTTGTCAGGCAGGATAATAAATCAGCGGGATTTTAATGGATGAATGGGCAGCTAAGCCGAGGAGCAGGCTCCTTCCCCAGTGTCGTTAAGATTTGTCTCTGATTCGGGCAGGTTTCCTCACTTTTTCTCCTCTTTAGCCTAACAAATCATCCTGCTGCAATTCAGTTTATAAATAAACACAATAGCACACTCCCTGTCACTTCCTCTCAGTGTCACAGGCTGTATTTATGCCCCCGGAGCAGCAGTGCCAGGCAGAGACACGGCACTGCTCGCCCACAGCCAACAGCACCGGCTGAAACTCGGAGGCGTGGGGGGAGCTCCTGGGCATGGCCCAAAACCGGGGGTTCTCTGTGGGGTCTGTAGTGCCGCAGGTGGTGGTGTCCCAGGGACACCGATGTGATGCCACCAACCCCAGGGCGAGGTGTGAGTTGGATCGTGTGGTCCCCTCCCCAAGTCGAGATGGGTGAGAAGAAGAGGATGAACAGTCCTTCTCAGAGCTTCAGCAGATTTCTGGACTGGTGTTCAGGCTTTGGGGGGCTGATGGGCTGATACGCATTGTCTTGGCTTATGTAAACCAACATCAGCCTCAAGACAGAAAACGCAGAGCCAGATTTCAAACGGCTCCAAATCCCAGAGTGTTCACATCTGAGGATTAGGACTGGACTCATCCTTAATTAAAAAAATAAATTAAGAATTAAAAGTCTTCCATTTATAGCATTTGTTCTCTAAAGTTCTCTCTGGAGCAGACGTGTGGAGAAAAGCTCTGAGCCCATCAAGAGCACATGAACAATGAAACTCTCACGAGGCATCGGCACATCCTGCCTCCCAATGGGCCACCACCAGTCCACAGAAATAGAGTCACGGGGAGAAAATGTGCCTTTTCTCCATGTTCTTGCAGTACACCCACACTAACCCTTCTCCAAAAGCCCTATCCAAAAAAAAAAAAGGCTGGTCTTTGCACCCGAGGCAGGGTCTTAGTCCCTGCTCTGCCTTGCTTTTCTTTCTGGAAAGTGTCTTGCAAATGCATTTCTGCTATTTGAGAAAAGCCCAAGTTTAGGGCAGCCCAAGAGCCTGTGGATTCACCTGGCTGATAGGTATCATTTTATTTCCAGCAGTATTTGCTCAGGTGATGGCAAGAGCACATTTAGCTGCTGATGAGCCAAACCCAGTAGGTGACACTAAGTAATACCAGTAATTTCCAGTAGATAGGTATGGGAATGCAAAGCCTGTGTTGGGAGGACTCACCTCGGAATCTCCCTTTCTCCTTGGGCCAAGCAAATTGATGGCATCATGAGCACAAGGGAGGGAAATGCCACTCTCAGAGGGAAATTATAGATCCGGGATGGCTGTGCAGGGAAGATCCAAGTTCTGGATGTCAGGTGGTGTGATGGGATGTCTCTCCTGGGGGGTCTCACACAGGCGGCTGGATGAGGATACAATGGCTTGGCCCAAAATCACCGCGCCCTCATTAATTTTGAAATCGGCACGTTTTTCTAAGCTGTGTGTGTTTTTAATCAGGTCTCTGAAACCACTACTCGCTGAGCAGTTCCTCTGAATTATCGACTTTGGGGTGGTTGTTAAATTTTTGTTGTTGTTGGGTTTTGGTTTTCCTTTTTTATTCTCTCTTAAAAAAAGAAAAAAAAAAAGGCACAGCAAGCCCGAGCACAGACCTCTGCTTCTTGAGCTCTACCATTGGGTCCACAGCACCCTGATGACTTCTGTCATTCCCCATTTTATTGTGTCTCTACTTCTATCACTCGCTCTCTCAGCAATCTGATTGCGATGTGCTGTGGCACCGTGAGCTTTTCACACAAAAAAGTAGCTGGTTGGAGTTTGTTTTGGCAGCCAGGGCCTCCAGATGTTGTGTTTGCTGGATTGTGCGTCGCCTTTTGCTTTGTTTTTGACGGTGAATTATCTGCTGTCTCTAATGTTAGGTTGTTGTTCCGAGTTTGCTGTTGCAATAGGAAATTTAATGGGTGTTTTTTCCCCCTCTTTCCGCTCTATTTTGTTAATTAGAAAAGTTGGCTTTAGCCTTTCCAACTTGACTAGGGAAAAAAAAATTCCCAGTCCTAACTACAGTTATACGGTGATTTTAGTTGATGCCATTGAGACTGGACCGAGAGTGTCTGGTGATGGGAGATCTCATTTATAAGCAGCAAAGGGGGTAATTGAAGGTCTTCAAGCGCCTTTTCCTTTTCAAAAAAAAAAAAAAAAAAAAAAAAAAAAAAAAAAAGGAAGCTGCATAGAGGGTGGTGAATTCTGATTATAGTCTTCATTTTTTAAAGCTGACTTTTGCTTGGTTATACAAGTGATCTGGACTAATCCTTTCCCTTCACCGTGCACGCAAGAGTTGCACCATGTCGGAGATTTGGGTTGCAACACCCTCAGCAGAGCCCTGCGTTGTGCTGGGGCCACACTGATGTCCTGGAAAAAGGGGGGAATCTGCCCTGGACTTCAGCCAAGAGCATCCTCCAGTAGTGCTGAGCACGTGACAGTGAAAGGAGGTGGATCAGAAAGGGGAGTCAAAGTTTCCCCCTCCCTGGTGTACCCTGTTTCTGCATGGGACATGATCTCGAGCGGCCAGAGGTCATCTGAAAGCCTCACACATATTTTGGAAGGTTTTGGGTCCAGCCTGCTGTTTGCACAGGCTCTTTTTATAGCCTTCCCCCCCCGCCCCCCCGCAGGTCCAAATTCTGGTGCCCTGCAGGAAGGCAGAGTTATGTCTCAGGATAGTGTTCAGGCTTTCGTGTACATGGCCGGGTGCTCTCCCTAGAGATTGATGGTTTTCTTTAATTTATTCCACATGCCCCGGCCCCACAGGATCCAGCCCCCAGGGCTCTGGGGCAGACCTTACCTCCGCACCAGGCAGCACAACCACAGCCCTTTGGTCTACCCAGAGCAGGATCCAACCGCTAACAAATAACCCTATACAACACACCCAGCACCCAGCACTGAACAGAAACCCCAAACTCCCATTGCAAGGTTCATTTTCTTTTCCTTCCCTTCCCCTCTTTGCTTTTGATTACGCCTCGTGCTAGGCAGCAACATCGCCGCGGCCATGGGAGCTAAGCCGAAGCGGGGAGGGATGGGTGAGGGATTTTTTTTTTTTTGCTTCATCCTCCCCCCGTCCCAGCTCTTCTGGCAGCCGCAGACTCCAGATGTTCGGAGCGCGAGCTGGGAAGTCCTGCTGGCGCCACTTGGGGCAGAGGGCAGGGGAAAGGCACGCGAGCTGGAACCCGGAGTACTCAGTCACTGCAGGACTTGGCGCATTCCCCAGCTCGCTGCTGGCACATTCCCCGGCTCTCTCCTGGCCATCTGTTCCAAAAAAACACTTTCAGAACCTCATCATCACTCAGGATACAACACTGCGAGCAGCTGTTAGCGAGGCAGAAGGGAAAAAAAAAAAACAAAAACCAACATACACACATTAAAAAAAAAAAAAAAAAAAAACCAAACCATGCGAAAGGTCTCTTTGTGAGAGAGGAAACTGGGTTATGAATAACAGGCGAGCAGTTGGAGCTCAATAAAAGTTTTCGGCTGGAATTTAGTTTCTTGTTTTTGTGCCTGTGTGTGTGGATGCGCACAGACGCAAGGAATTAAAAATTTAAAATGCACTCTCTCTCTCTCTCTATATATATATATATATTCCTTGATAATTAAATGATATAGAAGCATATATAGAACGAAAAGCCACTCCATTTGTTGCAGTGTGCTGTGCTAAAATGGCTCACATTATGTATGTAATTATTGCATTATATAAAATAGTTATTGTGGTGTTCTGCCGTGCCTTGATGCAGCCTCATTGCTGCTTTGCTAAAAGCAGAGCTCCCGCTGTAGGTAACGCTTAACTCCCATTGAAAAATTCAAAGAAGGGCATTCTGTAGGCGTATTTACTTGCAGGAGTGAACAAGTTAAGGTTTTATGTTATAAAAGAGAAATGGTAGTGGCAGGCTTGATTTGTATGGCACTGAAACAATTCGCTCGGAGCATATTTTTTTGATAACTCTGTATTATGACTCGTGATTTATTTAGACAGAGCCCCAAGATAAAGCCACAGCTCCCACCCCCTCGTTTGCGCGGATGAGCCTGGCTGCTGAGGATTGCTGTTATTGATCATCTGATATTGATTATTATAACACATTCGGAGCCAGCACAGTAAAAATCTTGATGATCTGCATGGCATTTCTTCCTTGCAGCTTCCCATCCTGTGCGGGATGGGGGGTGTAATAATGAGGTTCGACCTCCCTTTCTCTGCAGTTTGACTCAGCAGAGGTTCCTCTTTAAAAATAGCTTCATTTCCCTGCTAGGACTTGCAGGCGAGAGCGGGCAGCCAGCCAGTCTGCTTCCCCACGGCCGCCAGCTCTGCGGGCCCCGGGGAGGAGCTGGACCACAGGAGAGCAGCGACCCGCTCCGAGCCCTCCGTCTGCCTGCGGGACAGCGGGACAGCAGCACCCCTGGGGTGGGGGGCCTGGATCTGCCTGGCCATGAGTTATCTCCCCTGTGCTAGCTAAAGGATTACGCACCCAAGGATCAGACCTGCTAAAAAATAAGGCAGCATAGTGGACTCCCAGTGCTTATCACTTGTGTTTTATATCTCCCTGCAACTTGAAACAGCAATTGCAAATGGGGCATGGGTGTGAGGCTAAGGGCTCATGGCAAGTTCGTGAGCAAGTTCGCCTCGCACCAGGCAAGGAGGCAGCAGCAGCTGTGTGCATCCCCAAGCGCACTGCACACCCTGCCTCGGCCATCAGGGGGTTGAGCATCAGTATCCCAAAGAGCAGGGCCAAAAGCTTTTCCTTGCAAAAGCGATGTGATGTGGGACCCCACTGTTGCATGGCAGCACCCCAAAACCCCCTTTGCTTTAAGGAGTGTTGGAGCAGCTGCATCGCAGCATGCAAAGGCTGAGGCTGGGGATTCACTGCCACGGTGGGAGCAGGGTCCCAGTGCAGGCTCCGTTCCCTTTGTAGCGGGGGTATTACCAAGAATAGGGTAAGATCCGCCGCACAGATATCGGGTAACTACAGCAAAAGGAAAATGTGAGTAGAAGAGACAGGAGAAGCCCTGGAACAAAGGCTGACTCAATTCCAGAAGTGCTTTGATTTATAGAGATTGAAATGCTCCGGGATGCTGCAAACTCACCAAGGTCATTGGGCCAGTTGTCAAATTCAAAAGCCATGGGAGCTTGGATATTACTAGTTTAAAGCAGACCCTGGTTAATAAATCTGTCTTCATAGCTCCTGGCTGGAGTGGAAAAGGGAGGCGGGGGAGAAAGGACGTGTTCCCACCTAACATAATCCATGGCCAGCGTTGGGCAGTGCCTGGGACCAACTGAGTTGTGCCAACGAGATCTGCTGAGCCCCTCTGTCGCTTTGCAGAGGGATCTCTCCATTTCCCTTTCCGTTTCCTTCACCTCGAAGGTACGGCATGATTGCCCTTACCTGCCCTTGCCTAGTTTGTCCATGTTCCCTCTTGCCCCCATGGCTGATCTTCCCCAATTGCAAAGACTTCAGAGCAGAGACCTGCCACTGAGGCTCCTCTCGCTACAACCATCCGGCTTCCCTAAACCCACCAATGCTTTCTATCACCATCGAGCACGCTGCACTAAAGGGTAGGGGTGTCTCTGAACGAATGTAGGAGGTATTAACTGCAATCTCAGGTCCTATTTGTTCAGCACTTCAAAGAGCACCGGAGGCACATGAGAGAGGCCTGGGGACTCCCATGGCTTTGGCTTAGGGCATGAGGCTGCTATTGCTGGGTAATTGTTCCTGCAGTGGAAAAGGTTTTGCTTGCTAAGACTGCTGTTTCAGACAGTAACGGGGGATTTGTCTCTCTACTGTCTTTTAATATTAATGAGAGTGGTCATTGCTTCCCTCCTTTTTCTTCTTTTACATTTTCTTTCCATGTGGGATAAATTAAACAACTGACTTTTCTATTACAAGTTATTAATATATATTGTTTATTGTTGGAAAATAATTTTAGACTGTTCCCAACAGAAACATTTGCAATATACAAGGCTGTTGGTCATTCTCCCACCTAAACCTCATTTATTCAAAATCCCAAATCACAATTACAGCCTTGAATTAGGGCGTTTCTACTTTCTCCTGCTCCGAGCAGCACTAGGTAGTGTCTTACAGTCAGCAGAGACATTTCCTTATTGATAATAATTGTTTTCAGATTGGGCATGTGCCAGATGTGAAGAGTTCATTATTGTTTACAGGGGAGAGCAACTGATGCAGGCTGGGCCCGATGGGGTGACATTTATCTAGGGACGTTTTTATCTCTGGGATGCACTGTGATGCAGCCAGCCCATGGCTCCATCCTGTCCTCCAGCAAAGCTGCATGGCCAAACACGTCCTCCACTGGATCCAGATGTGCTGACCCCAACTCCAGGAGTCTGGGGTCCAGCAGAGACCAGTATTTCTTGCGTGGAGGATGACCTGGGCCTTTCAGCAAAATACTCTTATCGAGGGAAATCCTGATGGTCCTGGGGCAATGCTTCCCCACTTTGCAGGAGGGGGTGGAAATGTGGATTTTGGGCCCTCCTGCCCCTTAGCCTGGTGTGGATGCTCAGCTGTGATGGTCGATCTTGCAAGCAGCTGCTCTAATGATAGAAATAAAAAATAAAATAAAATAAAATAAAATAAAATAAAATAAAATAAAATAAAATAAAATAAAATAAAATAAAATACATCTGTATCTTAGTAATATTTTATACCTTAAGGTTACAATATCCAGTTATGGAAAAGGAAAGGCAGTACAGAAACAAAGTGCATTGAGGAAAAAATGTTTTTCAGGCCAAGCTTTAAGGAGTTTGACCTTTTTAAGACTGTCAGAAAGATGGCTGATCTGTCCAGGGAATTGATGACCGTGTCCAAAAGACCTTCAGAGGCCGTACTGCACCCTGAAGGGCTCTTAAATCCACTGGCAAAAAACAAGAAACAGTGGTTGGACTCAGTAAATGGGATCTCGTTTCCAAGTTTCTAATTCCTAAGTTACTTAAAGGAGGATTTAGGAGCCCACGTGATGAAGGCAGTTTGGACAACAGAGATGTGATCTCGTGAAAGAGCAGGCCCTGAGGATTTTACTCTGTTTTGAACTATGCTAACGATTGTTTGTGGGATATTCACAGGGCTTATTTTAATGTTAAAGGAGGTTTAGATGAGGTTTTCCCATCTGAACCTGCTGGGCTTTGGAGCTGTGCATTTTCCAATGGATGTGCCTGTAACACTCTGTAGCCAGATGCAATTATCCAAGTACATCTGCCACGGCCGTGACTCGCAGGAGGATGCACAGGCACAAGGGACATGTTGCAGTCCTGCAGGCTGAGAAGCCATGCACGCAGAAAAGTAAATGCAATCACTAAAATACAGAAATAAACTCCATATCCTGCACAAATCCAGCTTGTCCCAACTCCTTTGCTTTCCCTCTGTAATTCTGAAATCGGCTTTTGAAGCTGAAAATAGACCCCGAAAGCTGCAGGTCTTGTCAACAGCAGGTATTTGCTATCATTTCTAACATTTCTGCAGCAGGAGCTGGAGCCAGCACCTAAGTACCTGGTTGCATTTCTTCCCCAAACCTTCCTCATCCCCTCTCTGCCATTCCTTCTGCTCTGTGTGGGCTCTGGCCACTTTCGTGGTACCTACAGGTGGCTGCTCTGCAAGCCCAGACTCTTAAAGATCTGCATATCCATAGCCAGCAGTGCCTGAGGACAGCCCACCATGGGTCAGTGACGGTCACTCGGTCACTCGTGCAAGGAGCCACCGGGACACCACGTGTTCGTGGTTCTGATAATGCATTTTTCTCTTTCCAGGAGTAATAACCAGGAAGGGAGGATTCAGAGAGCTTCCAGCCAGAGTTACATCTGTTCTTGGCAAAGGTTGCACGATCCAGATGAAGACTGCAAGCAGCTTTTTTGCAGAAACCCCTTTTCAAGATGAAGATTGGCCAAGGAACTTTCTTAATCTCTGGAACAGAAAGGAAAAAAGGAAAAGAAAAAAAAAGGACAGGGATGCATCTTATTGTTGTTAAGCCAGCCACCTTTTAGTACGTGCAATTTATTTAGCACTTTTCCCTTTGCTTAACTGGGAAATGTTACCCTCTCAGCTCATGTGTACAGTAATTTTTTTTGTTGTTGTTGTTGCTGTTGTGCCAAAGATTTGATGGAGCTTCTACACTGTGTCTTATTTTTGCCTTAACGTTAAATCTTTGAGCCAAAGAAAAGTCAGAGGTGCCATTCAGATGGTGGCAAGCAGGCCAGCCAGCTGTTGGTGGCAAATCCGAATTTCTGAATCCTTCTGTGAGTTGCTTCTTATTTCTCCTGCCCACACTTCTCTGCCTGCAGCCCTGGAGCCAGTGTTCAGTGTGGGCAAGAGCTGGGACAACACCAAATCATGCTTCAGCATTCAGGTTTGCTTCTTTCTTTGAGCTACTCCATAGTTCTGCCTTTTGGGCAATTTCCTGATGTTCCTGTCTGTGCAACACATGCACAGGGTAGAAATACTGACACGAAGTGAGAGCTGAAACAGGAGCTATGAAACTTTTTTTTTAATAAATAAACAAAATAAAATAAGCAAAAGCTAAGTGCCATGTAAAAAAAAAAAAGTAATTAAAAAGAAAGTTCAGCTAGGCAGAGTGAAATTCAGCAAAACGATTCAGCAGGTGTTTCAGGTTTGTGAAGTCGTTTTTTCCGTGGGGTTTTTCAAGTGGTCGGAAACCCGTGTAATGCAAAAGCATTTGAATCCTATACTGTACCTTTCACTTCAAATTGAAGTAAAAAAAAAAGAAAAGATTAAGAAACATTTGCTTGGAGTAAGCAGACTTTATAGGTAATGCAGTTCGTATGCAAGACATCTGCTAATGATGGGGGGACAGAGCTCTGTATTCAAGTTAAAAAATACATGGGTTTCCAAACCAAGAAGATTAACATAATGTGTTTCCCACTCAAGGGGAAAAGATTATTTCTGAGGCCAGACTGGCATCCTGGCTACACCAGTGTAAATCTGGTTCCCGGGTGTCTGACTACTCCAGTCTGAATCTGGACGGGCATCGCCCGGCGCTGGGGAGGGCGAGGGGCTGGGGCCGGTGAGCATCAGCGGGCAGGGGAGCGGGATAGTCTTTGTCTTACTGACATGAATACAAAACTTGAACTCCTCAGTGCCTGCCCGTTTATTTTCCAAGCTGAGCAACTGGCAGATGAATGCTGGGCTGGGGAGCCAGCGTGCAAAACCTGAGCTCAGCGGAGCAGGGTCTGGGTCCGGGGGATAGCCAGGCTGTGCGGTGACAATCTGCTTACCGCCAGGTTCCCTGGCCCAGGCAAGGATGGGCGAGCTCCTGGTGAGGATGCTGGAGATGTCTTCTACCTGATTTCTGGGACACACGGGGCGTGGCTCTGTCCAAGCCCCATCTCAGGAGCTGATGAGACTGCTCACCCCTTGGCCCTCACCACTGGTCATCATTAGCAGCCCAATAAAATACATTTTTAGATTGTCATTTGTATTTCTTTATTAAAGCACAGTTTTTAACCCTGCCTTTCATCATATACTTTAAGGCCAGCTCTTTAGGTTATAATGGGGAAGGGGGCCGAGCTCATGGGCTGCAGGAAGCACTCCGGGGGTGTTTGCACCCATGTCAAAGGACTGGGTTTAAAGTGCAATTGATTTCAACAAGCAAGCAGCTGGACCTCATAGATGTGATAGAAACAGTGAGAGAAAGGGAACTAGAAGGCAGTAGAAAAAAACCCCAGCACCGCAAGATGACCTAGAGGGGGAACTGCAGGTTTTGTACAAGGCCATGCTGCAGTTCTTCCATCTGGGTTTTGAGCAAGAGCGATGGGGACAAGCCTAGGTTCTCTGGCACCCCAGTACACACAAGCTACACTACATAGCCTGCAACTAAGGAAACGCTCTGGCATTTCTGTCTTCAAGCAGCATATACGAAATTCACCAAGCATTTTTAATTTGAGAAATACCATTGTATTTTAGTCAGGAGTTCTGCAGCAGCTCTCAGTTTGTGAGAGTTAATAATTAATCAGTAAGGCAAGGTCTGCAGGGAGAGTCAGTGATACAGTACTGCTGATATTCTTTATTTACCTCTTTTTTTTCCTTCCAATTCCTGTTGAATTTGCTACAAATACGTAAGTCACAAACTGGGCGGCATCATCAGGTTGTGATTGGGGCTTTAGGTTATGCAATATTGTTTGTCCTTCTTATTAAGGAAACATTAACCCTTGGGATCAAGTTGCTTCATTTACAAATTCCCAAATTCACTTTCCCTAAATATTCCCTGCTATTCCCACCCTACTGCTGTCCTCTAGTAAATGCAGGCAGAAAGGTAGCCCTTCAAAGTTGAAGTTTTTCTTGGTTTAAGTGAACAAGCCTCTGCAAGAGGCTGTGTGGAGGCTTTTGCATCCCAGCAGGAGGTGAGGCAAGGCAAGAGGAGTGGCAGTGGCCATCCCTACCACTGCCCCGTGCTGCCCAGCCCAAGCTCCACCAACCAGCTCTGATAAACAAGAAAGGTAAATTTTTACCAAAGGGTAGCAAACATGTGAGTTTGAACACCATAGCAGAGGTGACATTGCTTTCCTGTGCAGGCACACAGCCAGAGTCAGCTGAGGTACAGAGCTGACCTTGCCTCACTCCTCCCCAGCAAACACGCCGAGTGAGTGCTCTCCTCTGCCTATACCAAGGTAATTATGCTTATCATCCTGGAAAAGCAAAACAGCCCTCATGCTGTCACCTCCCCGGGGTCAGCAGAGCCAAAGCCTTTGCTCCCAGTTGGCACCGGCCCCCAGCTCCACATCTTGGATGGGAGAGTACAGGAGCCCTTGTAACCCCGTGCAGGAGGGTTTGCAGGGGCTCAGCTGACTGTGACCCACCATGGGATGGAGGGCAGATGGCATTCATTAGGAAAAGGGAATGCTGAGAGGCCAATGAGATTTGTGTTTTTCCCAGATGTTGAATGCCGTATTAAACCAGAAATCACACACCAAACCAGTGACATCACCTGGGCGTAAAGCACTGCTCCCCATTGCTCACACCGTATCTGCTGCCGGCTGGTGGTGGGTGAAGGGCATCAGCATTTCTCCTTATTTCTGATCTAACAATTGCTGAGGGAATTTAGTGCCCAAGGAGATACCAAAGGTAAGGACCACGATGATTATCATGTTATGAACATGGCAACACCACCAGACTTGTTCAGAGCATTGCACAGGATTCACAGCAGCAGTCACCATCTACCTGCTTGTTAAATAAAGGTCCTCGCAAGCTGCCAAATCCTTCTTGCATGAGGAGCTCTGCCCTGCACAGGCACCTCGAAATCCAAACATCTTCAAGCCAATTTTCCTCTCGGCTTAATTTGACAGAGTTGAAAGGCTGTCTATGGAGTTCCAAAAATAAAATGTGTAATAATGTGCCCCATAAAGCCAGATCCTTCTTTCTTTCAAGGTTTTTCTGTTGCTCATGGGTGGTGGGATCAGCAGAGCAGCAGGGGAGCAGCAGGACCTCTCCTACCATTTCTACCCTTGAACGCTGAGCTCAAAGTAGCTTTCAGTATTAGAAGTAGCTCTTTGTAGACCAACACAACCACATTTGCACAACAGCTCTCACCAGGCTCAGCTGAGCACTTCCATCTCCTTCTGCCCCACACAAACAGAAATACTCCCAGTCAGGCTGACCCATCAGTATATCCATGGCTGGGTAAAATCACTTTGGCAGGCTGGTACTAGCCCTCCTGGTTCCTGGTCTGTCATCCCTGCTCTAACTGGGGTATTTCCATACTGAAATTGGATGGCACAGGCAAAGCAGAGACCTCTGGCAAAACCAAGTGGGCTAAGTGCAAACTAGGTCTTGTTGGTAACTCCCAACCACACGTCCTTAAGGATATGCCTCAGGGCAGACCCCAGCCTGTGTGTTTTTCTCCTCACATTATCACTTTGAGGTGCTGTGGAGAGATGAACAAAATTCCCATAAACCTGGGTGAGGGTGTCTGACCCTCACCTTGATGCTTTGGAAAAAAGGGGGCTCAACGTTGCAAATCCAGGTTAGTGTTGGTAAAGATGCTGGTGGGCTGCTGCAGACAGAACCCACAAAGCAGGTCAACCTGTAGGCAAAGGAAACAAATTTCAGCCTAAACCATGTAGCAGATATAAGTAGGTAGATGTTGAAACAGAAATCACCGCCTGAACTTTTTGATGTAGTAGTATAGGATAAAGAAGTCCCCATTGCATCTACCCTCCACCTAGCTGCCCACCATTCCAAGGGCTGAGATGATGCATCTTGGAGCACCAGGATGGCAGCGCTTAAATCAACCCATTAACCAACGTGCATCAACACAGATCACTCACAAATCCATATGCATCAACCCAAATCTCTCATAAAGCTGCGTGCAAAGGTCAGGACTGGCCGCACCCCTTCTGTGTCCTTAATCCACACCCGGCGCTGCCTGACGGATGCCAGCTCTAACACCTTTTCCCCGCAAGCTACCTACATTTGGCAGGGATCAGCAGTCACCTTTCAGGGAAGGTTTAAAATGCCTCAAAGCACTTTTATTATAAATCTTGGGCAGAACCCAGCTCTTCGAAACTGGAAGGTGAGACGTACCATTTTCATAGCTCACCTTGTGACCTGCTGGCCCAACTCTGCTTGCTGCTGCATTTGTAGGATTTGTTCCCTCCCTCTACAGCTCTGAGGCCTGGAGAAGCATCTTCCCCCATAACTAACTAGGAGATCTATCATCTGAGCAAGACAATGTGCATCCCTCTCCCTAGATGACTGCTTTGCTGAATAGAATTTTCATATATATATGCACATGCATACACACAAAACGATAGAGAGAGGGTTTCCACCTTGTTTTCTGGATGTGATATATCACAGACTCAACTGTATTTCAGTGGGAGTTTCCTTCTTCCTGCCCTGCTACATGTCGCAGTGGCACCAGTTACACTGCAGCTGTAAGATGTGTATTGTAATTATTAATAATTGTCTTCACTTATTCCATATAAAAATATCAGCACAGTTACATGAATGATTTGTGTAATGATATATTTGCTGTTATTAGGACCTAATATGTTATGCCTGTAATTACATACTATGCCCCATATAATAGGCCTGGAATTGCTGTGTAAATTTTGGGTAATTACAGAAAACTATGCTACAAACAGGTCCCCCTAGACCAAGTCAAGCATGCACTACCAGGAAATAACCATTATTAAAGGCTCTGCAATAGACAAACCGAGAGACTGAAAGCCAAAAGCCGTCTGAATATATAGCAATAATGATGGGGGAAAAGAGTGAGTATGAGGGTATATTAGAGGGAGAAATAACTAGTGCAGGGGAGCAAGAGAAGTACCAGTCCAAGTGGTGTTATCCCCGGGGAACATTTCTTCTTACTCCGATTTCAGCAGCACTCCAGCAAAAATCCGAGGAACCTCCAGTGGGTGCAACGTAAGCTCCAAGTAGCACAAATTCATTCAGATGCAACTGTTTCAAAGGATTTAGAAGCCGTGTGCATCATTAGAAAAGAAAGTTATAATGCTTGCATCTAGATTAAAAGTCTGCCAGAGGTCATTACAGCTTAATGGATAGTCAGGCTTTCTACATCAGCTGGAAACATTGACATTGATTAAAATTTATCCACTCATTCCCAGATCCAAGAGCTTTTCCAGATTTCAACACACTTTTTTTTTTCTTTTTTTTTTTTTTTTTTTTTTTTTGATGAAGCTGATCCTTCCCTTCCTCACTGCAGTATCTGCACATCTTCCATCTAAAATCAATAGCAATAGCACG